CTCAGTTTTAGGAACAACAAATATTAACTTGATTTCTAGTCGATCATTTGGTATCAGAAGTGGCTAAAATGAAAGGCAAAGGCCTCTAGATTAGGTTTATTTTACCAAAATGAAATATGATCATGCCTTGATTTTTAATTATTTAATTAGGACAGGGTTGTCCAGACTTGGTCCTGGAGGGCCGGTGTCCTACAAAGTTTAGTTCCAACCCCAATCAGACACCTAGCTAATCAAGCTCTTGCTAGGCTTTCTAGAACCATTCTCACAGGTGTGTTGATGCAAGTTGGAGCTAAAATCTGCAGGACACCGGCCCTCCAGGACCAAGTTTGGACACCCCTGAATTAGGACAGTAAGGTCTGACTTGCTTAGACAAAAGTCTTGACACTTAACAGAAATAATGTCCAGTATAGAATATAAAGTCATGCTGCAGTGGAAACAGAATGAATGTTGTGTCTGACTCCATCATGAGCTTGGAGGACTGCATCCATACATCTCTGCAATGACTCAAATCACGGATTAATAAAGTCATCTGGAATGACAAAGAAATCTTCTTGCAGGACTCCCAGAATTCATCAAGATTCTATGGATTCATCTCCAATGCCTCCTCCATTTTACCCCAGACATGCTCAATAATGTTCATGTCTGGTGACCTGGGCTGGCCAATCCTGGAGCACCTTGACCTTCTTTGCTTTCAGGAGCTTTGATGTGGAGGCTGAAGTATGAGAAGGAGCGCTATCCTGCTGAAGAATTTGCCCTCTCCTGTGGTTTGTAATGTAATGGGCAGCACAAATGTCCTGATACCTCAGGCTGTTGATGTTGATCATCCACTCTGCAGATCTCTCGCACGCCCCCATACTGACTGTAACCCCAAACCATAAATTTTCTTAACCAAACTTGACTGATTTCTGTGTGAATCTTGGGACCATGCCCGTTCCAGTAGGTCTTCTGCAGTATTTGTGATGATTGGGATGCAGCTCAACAGATGATTCATCAGAAAAATCTTCCTTCTGCCACTTTCCCAAATGATCAACTAGAAAGTCAAGTTATTATTTGTTGCTCTTACAACAGGGATGGACAACAAGACTTTTTTTAGGCAGTGTATACACTATGAAATCAAAACAGTGGAAAATTGACCAAAATAAAGTAAAGGTAGTTATTAAAAAATTAAGAGACCACTTAAAAGTCATCAGTAGTTTACAGAATTAATCCAATTTTATTTTAAGCCAATTTAAGTACATTTCAAACTAAGTAGGTTACATCATCTTTAAGCTACAGAATAAACAGCTAAATAGTTACAACAGACAGTCTCCAAGTCCATTCTTCAAAGATTACATGACATTACAAACTATAAATGGTAAATCCCAAGAAATTGAGACTTTTTTTTTTTTTGTTGTTGTTATTTGCATCAATGTTTAAAAATGTTTAAAAAGTGTTGGGAATTTTGAGTCTCATGGTTTTGCTTTTGTGTCTAATTTATATTTGTTAAAAAAAATCTATAATTACTTTTTAATTTCTTTAAATAAATAATACTTTAAAAATAATATTTGTATTCATTCATTCATTCATTCATTTTCTTGTCGGCTTAGTCCCTTTATTAATCCGGGGTCGCCACAGCGGAATGAACCGCTAACTTATCCAGCAAGTTTTTACGCAGCGGATGCCGTTCCAGCCGCAACCCATCTCTGGGAAACATCCACAAACACACACACACACACACACACACACACACACACACACACACACACACACACACACACACATACACTACGGACAATTTAGCCTACCCAATTCACCTGTACTGCATGTCTTTGGACTGTGGGGGAAACCGGAGAACCCAGAGGAAACCCACGCGAACGCAGGGAGAACATGCAAACTCCACACAGAAACGCCAAATGAGCGGAGGATCGAACCAGCGACCTTCTTGCTGTGAGGCGAACGCGCTACCCACTGCGCCACCCATAATATTTGTAGTTTTATAATAATTTATTTACAATAGTTTACAATAATTAATTCATTTATAATAATGATACTAAGCTGAAGTCAAAATTATTAGCCCCCCTTAGATTTTTTTTCTGTTTTAAATATTTCCTAAATGATGTTTAACTGAGCAAGGAAATTTCCACATTATGTCTGATAATATTTTTTCTCCTGGGGAAAGTCTTATTTGTTTTATTTTGGTTAGAATAAAAGCAGTTATTAATTTTTTAAAACCATTTTAAGGTCAAAATTATAAGCCCCTTTAAGCTATATATTTTTTCCGACTGTCTACAGAACAAACCATCGTTATACAATAACTTGCCTAATTACCCTAACCTGCCCAGTTAAAATAAAATTAAGTTTTATTCTTTTAAGTGGTCTCATCATTTTTTTCATAACTAAAAAGCTGGATTTTCCTCCTATATTTTGGTGCAATTTTCCACTATTTGTGCTTGAAATTATGATGTTTAATGTTGTGATTCTCCTTAAAGGGCAATGATTCGATTCTTATTCATAACAAGTTGTCTTAATTCAGAGGCTGCATCCTTCGAAGCATGCATTGAAGGAGCGCTGCGTCATCGCGGCGTGATGAAGGCTGTCTCATTTCGAAAAAATTAGAAGGCTCCTTCAAATGCAGCCTCAAAATGTGTCCTTCGTCATCCAGGTAATGAAGGACACAACTGATGGATCCTTTGTAGCCTCAAACATCCTGCACTGAATTGATCCTTCAGATCAATTACAATACGTTTTAAAATAACTTTGACTGATGTGGATGTGCATCTTTCGGAGAATGCAGCATCTGAAATGAGACACAGCTACAGTTTATCAAACACCTGTTAAAAATCCCTATGGGAAAATGCATGAAACGAGCACCACTTGAAAATGTGGGCGGGGCTCTGTTGCACTCTATTATGAGATCACCGAATAGGCGGAGCTTCATGAGTTCTACCATTCAAACGTTTTCTTATTGCAGGTCACTTTCAGAACAGCGTGTGCTTCATCCAAAGGCACATCGAGTCTGCTGCTGGTTCACTTGATAAAGTCTGAGAACCAGCATCTTTACACCTCATAAATCTCTTTCTTGGCATTTTAACACACACATACACACACACACACCAGATTCATGAATGCAAGAAGCCTTATTTTTGGATGTGATTCAGTGCTCGAGGCTGAATGTATGCATATGTGTATGTCGATGCATTTAGTGTGTGTGGCGTTCAGCCTGTCTGTGTTTATGAATATATAATGTGTGTATGCGGCCGAGTCCTGCAGGATTAGATTTCCTGGAGTAACAATCGGGTGTGTGTATGTGTGTGAGTATGTGTCTTCATGCAAGTATGTCTCTGAGCATGTGTGAGAGTGTGCATATGCTGCTGTGTGTGTATATGTAAATATGTATGTGTGTGTGTGTGTGTGTGTGTGTGTGTGTCTGTGTATGTTCCTGTGTGGTGAATGCGTGTGCACTGAAGTGTATCTTTGAGTGGGCGTGAGTGTGTATGTTGATGTGTGTATATTGTGTTTGTGTACGTGTGCGCAAGTGTGTCTAAGTGTGTCTATGTTGATGTGTGTGTATTGTATGTATGTATGTATGTATGTATG